AATACCCTAAATACACATTGAGTGTTTGATGTGCAAAGGAAAGATCTGAGTTATCTAGAACTCTTAACTGGGAAGAATTCACTATGAAAAATAAATACTTGTACAGAAGAGACTCTCTTTTCTTGGCTAACTACTAACTGAGCGAACTAACTTGTCTTATTTGAAGCCAGGACTGACCATTAGAAAAATGATAAGTAAACTATTCATTCAACATATCTGTCTTTTCAGCTGACCACCTCTGTTCCATCCACGGAGACATCAGCACAAATCTAAGGAGTATGGTTTGGATTAATGCCATTTTGATATCCCTAATAGTTGGGATATCTAGTTAAAGACCATGTGCAGTTCTTTAATAGTGTCAACATCTTTTTATTACTCCTAGAATGCTTTTGTCAAGTTTGCTGAAACAGAGACACTAGACATCTTCAGCTCTGCGAACAATTCTGTTAGCATATTCAGTAGGAAATGCCCAGACTGTTGTTTCAAGATCTAATCAGATCTTAGAAATGCATTTTTATTTTCTAATTTTGCTGGGGTTCTTTCACATTTCAGGTTGGATCTAGAGACTGCTCCTTCAAGAACAATTTATAACCAACAACTCCCCTGTGAAGTCCACAGTTTTAGTTGTGGACACATTTCAGACATCATAATTTGGAAGAGCACAGAACAAACTGCAATGCTTGATGGCTTTCAGCAACAAGGAACCGATTAAATGGGATATGCCCTTGTCATTCCAGGCTATACATCTGGCACTGTTTTTTTTTCCATGTGGACATGGGAAAAAATTATTCCCTGGCCTCAAACTTATGAACCCTCTAGATTTCAACATCAACAGCCTGAAACACAATCCTCAATGGCTCTTGCAGTACACTGCTTTGACTTCTAGTAGCATACCTATAGGGCTTCTGAGCCTCTGAAGCTGCTTATCATTAAACAAAACACTGAAGTGGAATAATTTTCATCCTGGTCAGATGCATGAACACAGGAAAATGCATTTTCAATGACCTTTGGGTGTCTATTTTGATCTCAAGTGTACAAGGCTCTTCATTATTCTATAGTACTAGTTTTTCAGGTGGGATAAGTTGTGAGTGAGTGGAGAAAATCTCTCTTCACTACAACAAAGTCTGCGAAGCATTTCAATCAAGCATACCTTATCTAAAAGAGTAAATAGTTAATGTAAGTAAGGTGTAGAAAATATAAACAAAATCAGTAAAATAGAAACTTGGAAGAGGCACTAAAGAAAAGTGATACTTTCATATTATCAAAGTGGCAAATGAGAGCAAAAACCAACTCAATGTTTCATCTTTCCTATGGAAAAATATATTACATTTTCATCCTCTTTGCTTTTATAATGACTTAATTTTCATCCTCTTTTCATTTATATTGAATGAGGCTGTACAATAAAGAGACAAATGCCAGTTTATCCGATATTTAACTGACAAGAGGCACACTTTTTCTATATGTTATTTTTTGCCTTAGTGCACAATCTGTATGTGGTGGTGCTACAATTTGTATGTCTAGCATTAAGTGTGGCAAGATGGCCAATACACAGTAGCTGGTAATGTCAGGACATCATTCCTCATGCCTCGTGTTCTTCTTCCTTTTAAATGATTCATTGCTGCCTTTGGCTCTGGTTAAGCTTCACCATTCATTGCTAATTGCAAGTTGGAGTTAATGAAGGGCCAGTGATAGCAAAATATATAGCCATGAAATTAAAAATTTCTCTGAATTCTGTCTTCTATCATCTGTAAGCACTGAACCAGGCTTTTGACTACAGGCCTGGATTTGGGCTTTGTTTTAGACAAGTGTTAACTATATGATCTGTATTAATGTGCCCTTATGAATCAGGAATTCAAATTACTGAGATTGTAGAAAGTTTAGCTACAATTTTAAAGCTAATCAGATACTCAAGTACTTTGTGAATGTGGGATGTTAATAGACCAGAGTGCAAGCCAGTTTACTGAGGTCTATTTGATGTAGAGATGGAAAACAAGTATCGAGACAGACTGACTTTCCAAGGAGTAGCCATGTTGCACTTGCTTTTAAGAATCGGGACTTTTCTCCCAGTCTTTTTGTTCACATGTCATACTCACAGCTAAAATCAGCCGGTCTCTTTCAACTAAGTCAGCTAGTTTATTCAAGAGCCTTCCTCGCTCTGAAGCATCCATTGTACGCCAAGGTGACCCAAGCTCAAAAGCCTTTCTAGCTGCTTTAACAGCCTTGTCTATATCCGCCTGTGAGGAAAACAGAGGAATTTTATAATCAATAATTTATTCTCTCATTAGTCTTTTTGTCTGTTAAGCATATAAAGTGTTTCGCAAAGTAAACATGAGGCAACTCCAGTGTAATCAAAATTTGTGCAGTAATTTTAAATACATGGGTTATTTTCTTTCAAACACTTCTGTTGCTATTTCAGCAATGTGAAATTTTATTAGAAACAAATGGGTTCTCAAAGCTTCTAAAACAAAAACATATTAAGGAATTCTATTTTTAAAATTTGTGCTTTCAAACCCTCTGCATACGCTTTGCAATTACGGTGGTGATACAGTTTAATCTCCTATTTACAAAGAAATGCCAAATCTGTAAGTTAAATGCTTAATTACTCATGATCTAAAAGTAACTTATGGTGTAATGAAGACCAGCTTAGAAAAATGTGGTCCTTAGAATGTTTCAAAAAATGAACACAAATTTATTATTGAGGAAAACTAATCAATGTGTTTATTTTTGAAACATTTAATACATATTTATACTTAAAATTGTTTTTAAACATAAAAAATAGAACAGGTTTAAAATGCTAAACCTAAGTAATTTTCTTTGCATATGCTAGCTAATTTGTTAGTCCATTAATATTCTTTTATAGCATATTTTATTATTCATCATTTGGTTTTCACTATAGAAGGAAAATCTACAATTATATATATGAAACTATCCCGTGCAAATGGTGTATCAGGATTAAAAATACCCAACAAAAAATTAAAAATCTCTTGAGAAAAGGCTTTTAGTACTTGGAAATCTTCTATATTTTACAATTCTTACAGAAGTTTACCCAGGAAAACCAGTGACAGAAAGGAGATTTATTCTAGGTTTGTTTTTTTTAGAAATTTAAAACAAATTTCAATGAAAAAAAAAGGAAGATTCTATACATGCCACGTTTCCCTGAGAAACGTGCATGCAGGTTTGAATGATTTCTTTCAAAATTTTTATACTGCTATTTGCTCCAAGTCTCCTCCAGGAAAATCACTATCAAGGTTTACTAAATCATCAAAGTCAACTAAGTCAACACCAAAGTCTTTGTTATTACTAGGGACCTTTAGGATTAGAAATGAAAGAGTCATCAAACTGAAAGGAAATAATTCCCATCCATGTATGTGTCTATGCTTAGTAATCTCCTCTTTTTTTCTTGAAATACCACTGAAAGACAGTGGACAGCCCTTTGTATGCTCAGATTAAACTCCTGAAATCTCTTGGCTCATTATATCCAAAATATAGATTTTAGCACACTAGATTCGTAATGGCTGTGTAATTTATATGATTTGTATATCTCACTTGGCAATTTACTTAGTAGCAGTTGTCATTACACATTAGTTTGCAAAGCTGTTGAAGAGAAAGCAAACCTGTGTGTCGAGTAGTATTATCTCTTCACTTAATGAGTTGGTAGAGGACTTTTAAAGAAAGAATGCTACAAAAATTTTGAATGTAAAGTGAACAGCTGCAGGTCATGAGTAAGTTAATTTGAGGGTGATCAAATATCAGTGACTCAACTCTATATGGGTATATATATGGGTATATATACATATGGGTAATTGGGATTTAAGAAAAGCAAGGCCGTTAAAAAAATCTTTGTTAGATATATGCAATAATTAAAAGCTATCTTTTTCTAATAAAAAAAATTGAATTTAAAATGTGTCTTCATTATGACCTTCTTACTAATGTGTGCTCACTATTACTCATGTGCTAGACAGCATTAGAAACAATGTTTATTAGGAGAGTCATAATGAAATTACAGACCAGAATAAGTAATACTTAATGAGCAAATGATTTTGAATGCATTTCTCAAAAGACGCTTTAATTTAAGAGTGAATCTATGTACCGTCAATTAGAGTATTCTGAAAGAGAATGTGCTTATTATATTGGCACTAGATTTCTGGTGAACTTATACACAGGTAAGCAATTTATAAGTTTTGCAGTAGTTCTGGATAAAGTGGTGTTTAATGAACATTTTGCTTCTAAGCTTAAAAAATGCTTGTTTTACAAAATGGTCTAAATGTGCATATTTCTTGACAAAACTGTATATATCATTTTGTGCTAAATGTGAAAATTTTTTCTCGGTTATGGAAGTAAAAAACTGGCTTTGAAGGGGAAAGTGTGGAAAATTAAATAAATAAATGCAAACCCCAAAACAGTAATTATAAAACCAATTTTATATTCAGTTGCAGTCATCTGTGAACTGGAAATAGAACCTTGACTTCTCATACTTACTTTCTCAGAGTTTGTAAACAAAAATGTCTTCAGTCATCACGTTCAAAACTGTTAAGCTACATTGCCTGTACTATCTTAAATACTACCACTCCATCCTGCCCCCCCAACTGATGACTTACATTTAAAAGATATGGCAGCATTAGTCAAATCCTTTTCAGCAGAAAACCACATAATATAATAAAAATACAGAGCATAGGGTTTAGGTTTTCATTATATCTTTGGTTGCATAACATCTTTCTGTAATTTTTCATTAAGGAATCTCATAAACATAAATCAAAAATGTTTGTTTACAGTTCTAAACAAGATTTCTAGTCCTTTGTTTAAATTCATTGATTTTTACCTGCTTTAAGTAGATCAATTTTAGTGGAATTAGTGACTATTTGATAGGTCACCTTCAACTTCAGAGTTTTTTTTAGGATTATGCTCCAATATATTTTTCAAAAACAAAATATATGAAGAGGTCATTACTATGCAGAGCCAAAAAAGCTGATGGTAATGATCATCTTCAGAGAATCTGTGTTGGAAATTATAAGTATTTGTCCTCTTCATGTTATCTATAATGATAAGCCATATATAAATGTGTAATGAACAGCTGACATTACCATGTAAAGAAGAGCCAGAAAATAGTAACAACCCCCCCAATTAAGAAATTAGATGTCACTGTTCACAGATAAGAATAAGAATCAATATTAGGAAAAACACTTTACAAAAAAAATATTTCTTTTATTTTTTCCTCGTATGAGCAAGATCCTAACGTAAAGCAGTATATCAGTGTCTCTTTTCAAAAAGTATTACTTTAGTTTTAAAAAAGCATATAATTATGTTTGCAGAAGGTATACAGGAATAGGTGGAATAGGTGCATCGCTGATGAGGTGTCTTATATCACAGGGATGGCTGCTTGCCTTTTTACTTTTAAGATACAGAATCAAATATAAAGCTAGGGTTAGGGCAAGAAACAAACCCCTACCTTGTCGCCTTCTTCAACCTCACAGATTTTCTCTTCATTTGCAGGATTAAAGACTGCAAATTTTTTACCACTGACTGAATCATGCCACTCATTGTTTATAAATATCTGCAGGGGAAGAAAGAATGTGACAACATTAGTAAGACATATATAGATATTGTCTTTTATCTGTTTCAGTGAATAAGCTTATCTTTCAGACTTGAGCGCTGTCTGATTGATAGATACCTGAATTAAAAATGGAATAGCTGTTTCTGTATTATTCTTCAGAGTAATCACACATGCACTTAGCCAGGATCAGCATTATAAAACTGACGTCCTTTGTAGAGGAGAACTTCCTCTACATTATATTTTTCCTTTGTTTCATATCATAGAAATATGCTGTTTTGAAGGGACCCTTCCTCTCTCAAACTGGAGTCTGTGTTCTGCAAGTGAGGTACAGCCCTAACACCTACCTAAAACTACCTGGGTTTCCTGTGCTCACAGGGTTGGTAACGATGGAGGGCCTTTCTGTTACATGACCTGACAGAAGTAACCCAATATTGGGGTATAGTAAGTATAGTACCTTGAAGACCACTGTTGTATTTAGCATTGCTTTGATTTCTCTTCAATCTCTGCTGCCAGAAAAATGAAATCCCAACCAAAGAAACCCTAAACCAACCCATGAAACAAAACCTCCCACCCCAAAACCACAAAACCAACAAAACCTAAAGCATGGTTTTCTGAAATCGAAGTCAAGACTGAATAACCCCACCACAGTCAATTGAATGAGTCACAGAATAGCTGGCAAGGGTGTAAGGGACCACAGTGGGATCGTATGGTCCAATCTCCCTGCTCAAGCATAGTTATTCTAGGGCATATTGCACAGGATTCCATTCAGGCAGTTCTGGTTGCTTAGGACACATGTAAGGACTGCTGGGTGAAATTTGAGGTACATATCTATGCTCACAAATGCAAAATAGAACTTGGGTCTTAGTTTGGCTGCACAGGATTTGCCTGCCATCTTTGAGGCACTGTCAGTAAAATTGTCAAAGTGAGTTAACTTTTTATTGGCTGTAGGTTAGCCTTGAAACAGAAAGGGAATGAATGCTTGTTGGAAAGACCTGATTAATGCATAGCTGTTGGAAAGAGGGGACTGTGTTGCTAAGAAGTGTTCTGTAGGTTGCTCTCTAAAGTGAACATGATATGGTATGCAGTCCAACGTTAAGAGTACCTGTCTGTTGTTCTGTGCCCAAACATCTCTGTGACCTCTGGATTTGGGTCAGTGCTGAAATGAGGTTGCCATGCTAAGCTGCCCTCCTCGTGCCTAAGCCCACCTTCCTGATGTTGGTGAGCTGGTGCCCTCTCTTCTCACTCTCTCCCAGTGCTGCTGCATTGCTGGCACACATGTGAGATCTTGATCACGCTCATCATTGAGACCATGTCAGGCTCTGATTGACTGTACCAGGTATTTTGAGCTAAAATTGTGCCTTTCTTTAGGGTTATGGCATCTTGTCCTACCTTTAGTGACTAGAGCTTATCTGTGAGAACAGCTAGCAGAAAAGATTTGATTCCTGTTTCTTCTCCATTAGAACAATGACTTTGAGTTGCTGCTTAGAGTAGCAGGAATATTAAACTAGAAAAACATAATATAGTTTGGGACAGACAATCATAGAATCATAGAATTTAGGGATTGGAATGGACCTTACAGATCACCTAGTCCGAACCCAGGCAGCATGGGTAGGGATACCTCCCCACTAGACCAGGTTGCTCAAGGCCTCACCCAGCCTGGCTTTGAACACTGTCAAGGTTGGGGCAAAGTAGATGATGGTTAACTCAGGGCAAGATGAAGACACCAGAACTGCAGGATAAATTCCTTTTGTCGCACAGACCTGGGGTTGAAACCCTTCCAGCACATATGAAAATATGACAGATTTCAGGGAATAGATACTTTGCACACTGACTGAGTGGTTGTTAGCAATTGCTGAATAGTTTGTGAATAACTGTCAAGATCAATAAAAATATGACCTCTAAATGGATAGGGCAAAAATTTGCTATTAATATATTCTTGTCTCTACATGGGCACCTTATATAAAGTGTCATTGCCACCTCTGACCATCAGGATTGACCAACAATCTCCTGATTCAACAAAAGCTGTCAGGGAAATAAATATTTAAGTCCCTGGAAAATTCAGATAGGTGATGAAGTTGGTTACAAGAGTATCCACACAAAATTCTGAATGTGGTGAAAGGGCAAAGACAGAAGGTAAATTGTTAACATGAAAAAATTCCTCTAGATACACTGCCAAGAAAGGAGACTAAATAAAAGGTAAAAATTAACATAACACTGCTGTGATGTTACTGTGTGCCAAATTCCTATCTGTCTGTGAAAAGAATAGTAGCAAAGCATACCATTTTTGGAAATTTTTAAAGTGCTTGTTCAAATACTCATTTATTGTACCAAACAATATCACCTATAATATTAGTTTAGAATACCTTTTTTATTGATGTTTCTAATACTACTCCTGTTTAAAATATAACTTCACTACATTAAATATATATACAACACTGTATCAGTGCTGTATAAATCAAACTATCCAGGTGTCTTTCATAAGTTTCATAGCAACTCAGGTATGAAAGACAAGAAAGAGAAGAAAAAAGTCAAAACTCTATGTGGAAGCTGTATTAATACATTGCAGGCAGCTGTACTCATAAGTATGCATGCAGCCATGCTTATTCAACCCTGTGCAGTATTTTCTGCAAAGAAACAGGATGTGGACCTCTAAATCCAGGCAACAATGAAGCATCTGCCAACTGCAGCCTCTAGCAACGACTTTGCTGCTGAGAAAAATAGTTTGGGATCATCTTGCAATAGGTTATAGTGTTTTGTCAGTCAGTCAGAACTCCACTGACAACTTGTCAGACTTAAATGCAGAAGATCTTCCCTTCTGTGGAAAGTGCTACGTTGTCTGTAATGACTCATTGTGATCCATGAGGTTTAGGGCTAGAAATTTATTTTGCAAGGATTTAGAAATGTTGTTGCACTTATTTTGTAACTGTTATTTCATGAAAATTTTAGGAAAGATGTTTTTTGTTTCACAACTGAAAAAATTCATGACTTTCAGACTTTTTTTGCAGTAGAACAGGAAATACACATTTCTTGTAGATTGGACTGTACAATCCTTAGTATTTTAAATAGAGCCCAGGCAACAGGCAGTCAAACCCCTTTGTCTTTATTGCCCAGTGTCAGAGTGCAAGAGAATCTTGTTTCTCTGAAATTACTGATTACACTTCAAATGGTCTAATACCATTCTCCATTTGAGGTTCAAGTTACCTGCAAGACAGTATTTCTGACCTTGTTTACACAGTGGATTTTGTCACTTAAATGGCCTGAGAAGAGGATGGGAAGACAAGAACTGAAGTGTCTTTTTTTTTTTTTTTTTTTGTTTTGTTTTGTTTTTTTTTTTTTATTTTTTTTTTGTTTGTTTATTTTTGGTTTTTCTTTTCTTCAGTCCTGGAGTATTTTGAAAGAACCATGAGTTCATTTTATCTGCTAGATGGGAAGTGCTATATTCATGTCTGTGCTGCATGATGGAAGAAGATATTTGACTCTGTACAGTTTTGTCTCATATGGACAACACAATAGCTCAGCTGAAATAAATTTTAGGGTCTTTACATTAGGTATATGAAATATTCCTTAGAATAAGGACCCTCTTTTTGTGAGTTCAATATTGTGCAAAATTTGTACAGGGTTTCAGGCTTCAGTGCTTCTGCAAAATGACTTAAAAGTGCAGTATAAAGAAGAAAATACTGAATTTTTGCTGTGCAAAGATCCCATATTCAGCATCTGTCTATAAACTTATTCTTTGTTATGGAAGAATTTTTATGTAATTAATTATTATTGTTATAACATATGATTCATACTACAGACATGTAGTCTAGAAAGGCAATAGAACTATCAAAAACCCCTTTCAAACTTATGGCACAAGAAAAAACAAATTATCTTCCCACCATAAACCTGCCCCTTGCTATAATCGTTTGACAATGCTCTTCAAATGAGCCCAGTTACCTGTTTCACAGAGATAAAAGAGGTCACCAAATTTCAACAGCTGCTCAGCTGACTGCTCACAAGCTTTCTAGTGCAGACTCTAAACCAGGGAATTACATTAATAGCGCTTTTGCCAGGTGAAGAGGCACCAGGCAGAGGATGGACACATGCTGGATCAGCATTACTCAGGTGAAGTGATGCCCAGTGCTGAATAACTATTTACACCTGTTCCCATCTGCTCTTATAGATTCTGATAGTCATTCACATATTCTTGAGTTTGGTAATGGCAGTAAATTTTAAGATACACATAAAACTTAAAGATTAGTGACCCAAGAGGAGGCTCATTTCAAGTGCTTTAAGTTTTAATTTAGTATTTTCAAAATATGTCATGGAGTCTCATTGTATGCTTTAAGAAATAAAATTAAAATATGTGTCATTACTTAAGGGACTGCTAAAGATTGAAATTGTCAATT